CGTTCTGAAAAATAAAGTCTGTGGACTCACACTGCCTGAGTTCAGCACATACCACGAAGCTGTAGCAGTTAAGGCAGTCTCGAACTGGTACAAGAAAAGGCAAATAAATCGGTGAACGAAATAGAGTCCAGAACTAGACCCAGACACGCGTGGGCAAATGATTGTCGATGCTGGGAACAAAACACTGAAATCTGGCAAAGCTAATCTGTAACTAGACATGTATCTAGTCTCTTGAAAACGAAAGACTGTTTCCTTTATGATAGAAGGAATCACGAAAGTCCTGCCAGTGATGACCAAAACGTGGCTTCCCTCTAAGGAACAGTGCCTTCTGGTGGTTCAGAACCATTCTCTGCTCTTGGGAAGTGGACACTCAGCCACTGCAGTGATGGCGGGCCGTGCCGAGGGAATGTCTGCATGCTGAGTCCACGCAGAGCCTCCGTTTCGGATTCCACGCCACTATTCATGGGCAAGGAATGCAGTCACTTAGAAAGAAGCTAAAAGCATCCACAGGACAGGTATCCGGGGAAGGGGAAGCCCGGAAGGCCTGAACTGCCGGAAGTTTGGACGGCATCAGAAGTGCTGACTTGCATGATCGGCCCTTGGTCAGCTCCCAGAACGTCTTCTGTGCTATTGATAAGACTGTGTGGCTGCTCAGAGCCTCGAACCACACTCGACCAGCCCGTGCCGATCGTTCATGCCAGCAACGTGAACTACGGTGCACACCTGCTCTCCCGGGAGTCTGGAGTCCCGCTGATGCAGTATGTTCTATGGACGTGTAGCGCCTTTGAAAGCCCAGTGAAAAGCCTAGTCTCGGGCTTGTGACCTCCTGTGGTAGGTCACAGATTGCTTTAGTTTGCTGCTGGAGGGGTGAGTGCGCACTGCGAGACTGCTGGGAGGGGACTCTCGGAAGCTGAGATCTGATATCCTGTAGGCTGTCTGATGTGTCCTTTGTTATTGGTCCTGGTTTGTACATTTTAGCCAGAATAAACTGCGCCTGTGAGTACAAGGACTTCGGAGTGCTGTGAGTCCTGGTGAATGACCAAAACTGGGCGTGGGAGGTGGGGGTGCCGGACTTCCACATGGCCGACTGTAGTTCGAGCCCCAGACCTGACGACTTGCTTTCTTGCTTTCTCTATCTCTCTGCCTGGTGAGTGCATATGCCTTAAAAATAATGATAACAACAAACAAATTAAATAAATAATTCTTTTAAAAAATTAAAAGAAAAAAATGGGCACGGTCCACATGGACCTGGTTATTGAGAGTCCTCCGCAGTGTTTAGTCGCCTGTGGTCACTTACGTGGTGCAGAAAGATGTCCACATTCTGGGCCGATCTGACAAATCCCCCTAATATGCCTCTCCCAGGTCACTCTGACACCAATCTCATTCTTTCCAACCCAGACCAGTTGGCCAACCTACTGGCCACTGCCCATGGCTGAGTGTGGGTCAGTGTCTTAGTGCATGTCTTCCTTCGTGACCATCGATGTCCAGGTGCTACCTTTCCCTAGTTTCCGCACACCTGACGACTTGCTTTCTTGCTTTCTCTATCTCTCTGCCTGGTGAGTGCATATGCCTTAAAAATAATGATAACAACAAACAAATTAAATAAATAATTCTTTTAAAAAATTAAAAGAAAAAAATGGGCACGGTCCACATGGACCTGGTTATTGAGAGTCCTCCGCAGTGTTTAGTCGCCTGTGGTCACTTACGTGGTGCAGAAAGATGTCCACATTCTGGGCCGATCTGACAAATCCCCCTAATATGCCTCTCCCAGGTCACTCTGACACCAATCTCATTCTTTCCAACCCAGACCAGTTGGCCAACCTACTGGCCACTGCCCATGGCTGAGTGTGGGTCAGTGTCTTAGTGCATGTCTTCCTTCGTGACCATCGATGTCCAGGTGCTACCTTTCCCTAGTTTCCGCACACTGGGAAGATCTTGCCCTGCCTCAGGGCCGTGGCTGGGTTGGGGTTGTAATAACTTGGACCTAACCATCTGTGGGTTAGGTCCAAACTTCACTCCTAAGTTAACTGATCACGGAGAACTCTCCAGGAACTCAGACTCAGGTGGAGAAAAAGGTGGTGAAACAGTAGAAGTGGGTATGTGAGAGCCCAAGCCGTTTGCTCGTGCAGGTGCTCGGACCCTCGAAACCTGCTTGAGCCTGTTCCTGTGAACACTCAGGGGTAAACTCCACACGTTGCACTCTCCTCCCGCCTCACCTACTGCTCTAAGATTGGCTGCTGGCCTGGCTGGACCTCATGAGCCCTTGTGAACTTCCCCTCATCTCATGGGACTGGCCGGTGACGGGCTGTTCCTGAGGTGTTCCTGTTGTGACCCATACCTCCTGGAAGGACGTGTACGTAGCTCTCCCACCAGTCACGTCACAAGACAAGTGTGCTAAACCCCTGATTCTGTTAGTTGATGAGCTGGTCTGGTATTGTGACCTTTAAACAATGACGTCATTACTTAATTTATGCACTCTTTGTTCTTAACTTATGGAGGCTGAACCTGCATTCATGGTGGCATGGACCATTCTCCGGCCAGCGGAGAATGCTTTCCTCTGATGGGCCTCCAGGGATGTGCTTCGGAATTGGTAAACATTATAGGCAGCCCCCACCCTCATATTTCGGGGGCCCTGAAACAACAGTTACCATTAACAAAGGACTAAAGCTAGGAACGTGCCCTTGTATGATTTAGGGACCAACAATACCAGGTGACCCTGGGTCCTATAGTTGCTTGGTATTCCGCGACCATGCACTCATTCTTTGCCACAACTTTATGGCTGGTTTTAAAATAGAGATTAAATTTTGGGGTGAGAGCATGTCCTTCTTTAAGAAGCTAGAGATCTGCATTTGGTTGTCCTTTTGGGATATTGCCAGGGCTCTGTGTGGGGTATTTCTGTGCTCAGGAGCTTCTAGTATTACCAGGTCTGCTGGGTCAAAAGGCCCCAGTGGCAAAGCAGCTTGCGTGGAAGCCAACGTGGTCAGTCTCCTCTTTCTCCGGGTCCACCCAGACTGGCAGCCTATGGGAAATCATTTGGAGCGGTATACCCAAATGTAGATGCTGCTACCAGATGTCAAAGAGGCCCCCAAGTGTCATGGTTCTCTGTGCTGGGTGACAGAAGGTGAAGCTGCCTGTCTCTGATCTAGAGAGCAGCCGGCCACTTCACTTTTGTAGGTTTTCTTCCTTATTTTCTGTCATCCTGTGTCTTACTAAGTCATCTAGGATTCTTCCTCTCCTAGCCACACTCAATACGCTATCCTCCCCAATGGAACTATAATACAAACACCTACGTTAATTTCACATTTCTAGTAGCCACATTAGAAAATCATAAGGAATATGTGCGATCAATTTTATTATTATTATTATTATTTTGGAGAGGTTTTTGCTATAGGGCATGAGAGACAGAAAGTGAGAAATCACCCTCCAGGGAAGATGACCACACTGCAATCCCTTCTCCTCAATTCTCCTCTCAGGATCTTGGATATACACGCACACACGCCTGGTGTGAGTTTAAACCACCGGGTCCGGGACTCGAACTGTAGTCGACTACATGGGAATCCAGAGACATAGCCATTATGCCAACTGCTGGTCCCAATGAGATCAATTTTAACAATCCACTTTGTTTAACCAAGTGCACCCAAAATGCTATCATGTGAACCACCAACATTACTAGTTAGCTATTGTACACTCCGTCTCTGATGTCTCGCACGTGTTTCAGACTTGGAGCCCGTCTCAGCTCAGAGCCACGGTCCTCAAGCTCTCAGTAGTCACCTCGGGCTGATGCTCACCACGGGGGGCCTGGCAGCTCTCAAGCGTATTAGGACAGAGCATTCAAGTGGGCACAGTCCTGAGTGAGGGCAGAGGTGGACTGCTCACCGCCATGTAGAGGGAGACCCTGATGATCCTCACTGGCGGGAGTAGAAAGTATTTGTAGATTAGCAATGACATACCCGATGCCAGGTCTCTGGTGGGTACCTCAGTAAGGATACTCTGTCTGGAACCGCAGCTGCAATGAACGTTAACATCTGGTTAAATCTGTGACAATGACGAGGCCTCCTCCAAGGTCTAGTGGACTTTGGGCCAGCCATCAGGCACGTTAGATGGAGGTGTGGTAGAAATCCCCACCTTGTACCTTTCCAAACTTTGCTGGTGGCATCGGTCTTCGTTTCTCCATGTCTCCTCAGGAACGCACTCTGCCTGGACCGGCAGGTGGCACGGGGGTTAAGGAATGCATTCTGCCCTGTGTTCATTATCTTGGTGGAGGTATCCCACCGGGCACTGCCTTCCATGACTTCGATGATCAGGAACAAAGTGACCTCTTCTCACGTACACTCTATTCTTCCACAGGCATGACTGTAGACCCCCTGGACACTGTGAGGCGTCGGGCTAGGGTTCCACATGTCTCGGGCCTCCTTCATCCTCTAGCGGGTGACTGCAGTAGTGTTTAAGTCTGTGGGAGCTGACCGTCCCCAGGAGGTTTGGGCACTTTGTTTATCCAGCAGATGTAGCCGTAAATCTTCCTGAAGGAGACTTAAGAGTCGCGCTCCTCGGCTATGGCTGTATTGCAGAGGCCTTCTTTGTAGAGAGCCAGTTTCTCCCTCAAACATGGATTTCTAAATCTTTTTCCTGTTGGTCCGAGAACTGAGTAAGAAACCATGAATCCCTAGTAGGGAACTTAGGTCTGGAGTCTGCTTGTCAGAGACAGATCTTGCTTACGCATTGCCATCCATGTCTCTCCCAGGGACTGAGTGTTCCAATAGTCAGTCATGTGGGGCAAAGTTCTCTGATTCCTGCTCTGTCTTTAGGGTTTATTTTGATCATTATTCATGGGACAAAGAAATGTAATATCTGTAGAAGATACATTTATAGTTTTATCAACTGGACTAGGGAGAAATGTTCACATGTTGAAATATTCAGTTGTAAGCTAAATAATGTGATTGAACGTAAAAGAGAAAATGAAATAAAAAAGGTAAAAAAGATAATTATTCTTCTTTATTTAGTAGTCAAGGATTAAGAGCTAGTCCCTCCTGCAGTGACAACTTGTGATTCCCACTGGAACTGGAGAGCTGAAGTTTATGCTGACACCTTCGCATCGTTCTCTCTACTCTGTTGAGACCAGTCTACCAGAGAAGATTCCAGTGACGTGAATATTTCTACAAAGCATTCCTGGGGGGTGTGGAGAAGGACTGACCCGGCAGGCTGCACAGATGATTTGTGATGACCCCAACGTTCCTGCTTCCCCGAGCCTTCAGACTCTTTCACAGAGCTTGTCCTGAAAGGGTGGTCCCCGCCTAGTGTCAGCAGCTGCATCCATGAACTTGATAGAAATGCAAATTAAAGGCCCGCCTCAGCTAACCACATCTGAATCTCTGGGAGTGGGGCCCCTGCTGCTTTCACCACTTCTCCAGGTGAGTTTTATGCCTGTTAGAACTTAAAAGCCACTGTTCTGTATCATGCTAGAGAAATGTCGGCATCTCAGACTAGCAGTCTATGGGACATCGTTGAGTCCAAGCCTCAATTGAGCAGCTAGAAAAATACAACTCTCCCACATTTATGCTCACACATTCAAATCTGAATTCCAGGCGAGCGCGTCTGAACTGATAATCAAGCCACACATTGTATTTCCTTTGTTTGGAGGGCGCTTCAAGCCGACTCCTGTGTATGCTAACCGGAGTCTGGTGATACCCGTTGGCCAGCTCCCAGGACTCTGGCACGGGGTGTGCAAGGCGGTCTCTGCTGCTGTGTTGGGCGTGCTGAGACCTAAGCTCCCGTTTTAGGCCTTGAGCCGGTGAATGGTGGCACACGTTACGAAATCTGCATCTACTGTGAGGTGGAAATTCTAGATGTAGTCATGATTTGGTTTTTGCTTAAATGTCACAAGGACTGGTTTTTGGCTTCCGTAGAGGAGGGTTAGGCGTGCTGGCCTGTGTGTAGTGTAGGGAGGAGGCACCCAGGTCACTATGCCCAGCTGCATCAGCATCTGCCTCATGTCCCCACACCATTCTCTGTCCCTGTCTTAGCACAGGACAAGACTCGGCAGGTTCTCCAGTCAGTTCGCGTTGCCTCTTCCTCAGTGTTCCCTCCGGCCGCGCTTGGTCCTCCACTCCAGGTGCCTGTGGGCACAGAGGTGAGAGACCCCTGCTGCCTCAGCCGGCTGTCCTGCTGGTATCCGAAATGCCTGCGACTCGGTTGGATGAAGGACAGAGCTCACTGGCTTTCAGCTCTGCTGGTGAGAAAGTCCCAAGATGTGGGACTGGAGTGAGCCAGCTTCTGCTGCTGTGTCACAGCTTGGTTAACAGAAGCCGAGGGTGACTGGTGTGTGCAGGAGGAGAGACAGCCATCTTCATCTGCCTGTCTGTCTATCTTTAAAACTACACAACCTTACTCTCTTATGTTCTGGAGGTCAGACTCCCAAGTCAAGGTATCCATAAGCTCATGTTTCCTCAGATGGTTCTAGGGATTGGTGCTTAGTTTTCATTAAGACTGAGAAACTTGGAGCTGGCAGGTGGAGTGGTAGTTAAGGCTCTGGACTCCCACATGGCCAACCACAGTTCAAATCCCAGACCCGGTGGCTTGCTTTTTCACTTTTCCTCTCTCTGTCCCTTTCTGGTCAAATAAAAATAAAAATAATAATAATAATAATAATAATAATAATAAATAAAATAATAATTATTTTAAAAAGATTGGGAAACTTGATAAAGTTATACATTCTCAGTAAGAAGGGAGATGAATATAATCTTTCCTTTTTTATGTTCTACATTTTTAAAAATTAAGAATATTTTAAAAATATTTTATTTAACTTTATTTATTTACTCATTTTAATTTGGCCAGAGAGAGAGACAATGAGAGAGAGAGAAAGTGAGAGAGCAAGTCACCAGGGCCAGTACCTGAACCACAGCCAGCCATGTGGGAGTCCAGCACCCTTAACCACCATGCCACCTGCTAATAAAATTAAGAATTTTTTATTAGCATAATAATTGATACAATGTGATTTTTCAGTACATGTAGATAATGTGTAATGGTTAAGTCTGGGTAATTAGTATACCTATCATTGCAACCATTTGTAACATTACACACAGTAAGTTTTAACAGAAGTTTCCCACTGTATTTTGTAACATTAGACACCATTCTTTTTATCTGTCTGCAATTTTGTTTCCATTAAACAATACGCTCTGCCTCTGCTGCAGTCTTTCTAACATCAGGTAGTGTTCTATACCTCTCTCCCCCCATGAGGTCATTTTTTTCAATTTCCAATAATGAGAAAGAACACGTGGTGTTTCTTTTCCTGTTCTTGGTTTATTTCACTTAGCAAAAAATGAAATAAGACCCACCTATTCAACCTCATATGACTGGATTTTGTGCTTTTTCATGGCTGCATAGTATTCGATGTGTGTGTGCACGCATGCCCATCACATTTTCTTCTCCATCTGTGTTGATGGATGCTTAGGTTGCTTCCTTCTCTGGGCTATTGTGACCAGCGCTGCGATGCACACTGGTGCAGGTAACCTTATGACAGGCTGATTTCCTTCCTGGACATACTCCTAGCAGTGGGACTACTGGGCTGTAAGCCATCTCCTTTCACAGCAACCAGCTCTCAGAGGGGCTCACCCTGTCAATGAAAATAATCAACTCTGCAGAGACAACAATTAATGCAATTTCTTTCTAAACACAAATACGTGCGACTGACCTGGAGAAAAGTAATTATGCTTTTCTCTGGATGTTCAGATTTGGAAGTTCCTTCTATTTGGTCTTGAGAATGAGAGACAAAGTTTGAAATTTGGGGATGTTTTTCCATTGGTCTGGCTGAAAAAGTTTGGGAAGTTGGAATGGGAGGCTTGTAGGTTATAGGTGGGTTTCCCAGTTTTTACGTTGGTGATTGGAAAAGGAAGGTCTGCTGAGATCAGCACAAGAGAGTACTTTAACAGAGAGAGGAGGCTTAACATGCATCGCAGAGATCCCAGGGCAGGTACGGGAAGCAGGAAGAGCCCCGTTACCAGTGGGTCAAGACATCTGTGGATGTGACTCCCTCCAGGACCTCTGGAAGTGATTTTGGAAATAGGAAAAAGCAGTCAGACTTCTGTCCTCAACCCTTTCTACAAGAGCTAAGACTCACTCAGTCTTGCAAGACAACATTAATTCGTTCATGAGGGCAAGGCTGTCAGGATCCTAAGGTCATCCACGGGGCATCATCTCTTAAATGTCTCATTACTGCCCACCTCTATTACACTGGGGACCAAACTCCAAAACATGAACCTTTGGAGGACAAACTGTTATCTAGACCAGGGCACCTTCCTTAGAGGCATTTTGACTTATACCCACTGCTGCAGAGGGTTTGTGTGTGTGTTTGTTTTGTTATCAGGCACATGAGCTTGTCAGAAAGAGTCAGCAAGAGACAGCCAGAGGGAAAGTTAGAAATCCCCTCCCTTCTGGGGGAATGGCCACACCGCAATCCCTTTTCCGTTCTTCTCTCGAGATTTTGGGCATGCACGCACACATGCCTGGTGTTGACTTTCCAGTCAGTGGGTCAGAGACTCAGACTGCAGTCGGTCATACGGAGGCCCGTGCCCTAACCACCACGCCACCATCTGGCTGCACTTGAGAGGGTTTCCAAGCCACGTGTCCTCTTCTCTGTGTAATTGTGCAAGACAGCCAGAGGTGGCCAGGAGACCCCATGGTGTCAGTAATGATTTCTGTTTCCTTAATAAACAGGTGCTGCATCTTTGCCTTGGCAACTAGGTGCCACAGTGACTCCCTAATTCTGTCTCTGGACCCATACTCCCTCCCTTGTCACCACCACTGTTAATTTGAGTAACTGGTGCTACGACCTGTCTGGGGAAGAGGTGGTCTGTGTTCTCATCAAATGTGCAGGTGATTTCGGAATTCGGTTTTGAGGGTCTGTCTCCTGGCCACCGGTGGTGATGGTACCTTTACTAGGGAGCAGCTGGCATGTGGCAAAGAGACACTGAAGAGCAGCTGGCAGAGTCACTGTTGACAAGCGTGTGCGCGGGGATACTGGAATTAGCACCCAGGAAGCTACGACCTCGCTGGGTCTGAAGAGATGAGTGCAGGGGATGGCCAGTGGCTGTGAGCATGGGCGAGGGCTGCAGGTGTCGAGTAGGAGGCAGGGCACCAGAGGGGGCTGTGGATGCCGTTACCATGGCCGGCAGGCTGGGAGCCGGGGGTGAGAGCCGGAGCTCACACCTCTGATCACTTGCTCATGTCTCCCACGGCCAGAGGGAGCTGGGGCCATGGGCAATGCAGCCTCTCGAGGTCAGCCCTGCATGGCCAGGGCAGGGTGCAGAAATGTGGAGAGAAGATCTCGTTTCTCATCTGCTGCGGACTGAATTGTGTCCCCTCAAAGTCCATGTTGAAGCCCTATCTTCCCATGTGACTGAATCTGTGGAGAGAGGGTCTCTAATTAGGGACATAATCAAGTTTAAACAAGGTCATAGGTACAGTCTGATCTGGTAAAACTTGTGTCCTCACGAGAGGCTGAGACTCCAGGTCTCTCTGCCATGTGAGAACACAGAGAGAGGTTGTTCACCTCAGCCAGGAAGAGAGTGTTCACCCCAAACTGCCCTGCTGGTACTTCGATTTCGGACTTCCAGCATTCCGAGCAAAGGAATTTCTGTCCAGTCTGTGGTATCCCTTCATGGCAGCCCAAGAATTCTGATGTATTTTCTGCAAGTAGAAGACTGTGTGTGTCTCATGTGGTTCCCGTGAGGAGTGCATGAACTAACCTCTGGAATTTCTAAGCAGAGTGGATGCACCATAGTTCACAACTCGGTTACTTTATTATCGATTATTGAAAATGAAACAGTCAGCGTCCGTGTCAGGATTTAGTTACTGCTGTCTGTGTATTTTAGCAGCTTCAATGATCTTTCTTGAGGTGAACCGAACAGGCCTTCAGCCAGGGCACACACTGTAGTTTAAGATGCCTTTTCACATTCCATTTGTGACCTGCTTTTGTTAATGTCCCACTCCACCCCGCATCACACCGATTAGCGTCTCATGTTAGTTGATGATGTCTTCTTCAGTGGTTTAAAGCAGGTGGCTCTGAGCTCGTTACTCTATAAATAAAGATTATGTATTTTTTTCCTGAGTAAATTACTTTGTATCAGTCCCCGCCGAAGCACACCTGCCATGTTTCACAATGTTCTTGTCAAACAGCAGACCCAACACTTATTTCCATTTTTCTCTCCTGTGTTTTACATCTCGCCTTGCTTGTCTTTTTAGTACATAAACGCTTATGGGAAAAAGCACTCATTTTGTATCATTTCATTTGTCAGTTTTAAGCATCAAACACACTGATAGTTTTGAAAAAAAAAAGTGTAAGTTCTTTTAGGTTAAAAATTCATATTTTAGCACTACACTTACTTCTGTTTCCTGGAATGGCGGGTGCTTATAACAAAACATTGTCATCCACTCAGTTTAGCAATGGGTCACATGATCAGAAACCTGAAAGTGGGAACTGCTAGGCCTTTTAAAACAGGTAAATGGACCAGCAGGTGACATGGTGGTTAAGGTGCTAGGTTTCCGCATAGCCGACCGCTGTCTGCGTCTCAGACCCGGCCGCTGAAAATCACACTGGGATTGTACGCGTGCGTGCCCAAAATCCCAGGAGGAGAATGGAGGAGAAGGGAGTGCAGCACGGCCATCCCCCTGAGGGGTGATTTCTCTTTTTCTCTCTCTCCGTCTCTCTTGGGCATGCACATGTGCCCTGTGGCAAAACCCTAAAACAAAACAAAATAAAATGAAATAAATAAAACAAAACAAAAAACGGGTTATCATGGTGGAGTGGCTTGTTAGCTGCTAGACTATACTGCCTGAAAGACAGAATAGAAAGCAGGCCCGAAGAGCAGCTTAGTGAAAGCTACAGGTCGTTGTGTTCTCCTCTGGGCAGACACTGCGGCAGGTCCAGCCTCCCTAATCCAAATATCCCAAATTCAAAATGCTCCAAAATCTGAAATGTTTTGAGCAATGCCGCAACTGACTCCAACAGTGGAAGATCCCCCTAACCTCATGTGGTGGGTCAGGTTCAAAAGGCTGCAAAATAAAATGAACGTTTAAAAGGCTCTTCGGGGGCTCAGCTGCGGTGGTGCAGGTGATAAGGCGCTATTGCACGGTGCTGGAGCCACGCGGCGGCCTGGTTCAAATCCTGGGTTGACCTGAGCACGCCGGGGGTGCCCGTGGTTCTGGACGACTGAGAGGCTGGGGGAGGATGGCGGCATGGGGAGATCACGGTCAAGGGAATCTCTTTCTCCAGAAATAATCGAATGAACTTAAACATTACCCTCAGGCTATGTGTATGAATATAAATGAATTTTGTGTTTATATTTGGGTCTCATACCCAAGACGTGCGATATATATAAAATTCTGACTATTTTTCCCATTTCCAGGGGACGCGGGAGAGCTGCCTACAAACACGAACAGTCACTGGTGGGACGCCACACCCTGCTCCAGGCGGAGTCTCGGAGGCACCGTGAGCCTTCCTGGTGGGACGTCACACCCTGCTCCAGGAGGAGT